ACACTGCAGTGTGATACAATGCACAAATATATATCACTTTAACATAGGTCTGAGCAAACTTGAAGGAGAACTCTGAGGTGAATGCTTTTCACTCACCTCATAGTTCTAGCCGACCTGTGACAATGAGACTGTCGCAGGTCGGCTCAGTAGATCGGGAAATGAGCGAACACATACCGGTGTTCGATCCTGGATTCCCCCCTCCCCGCTTGCAGATCGGACGGGGGAGGGGGCGGGTACAGCTGGCTCTGCCTCTGGATAGGCAGAGCCAGCTGTCACTCACGCAGCTTGGCGGATCCAGACATAACTGTCGGGATCCGCTTCAGCGTCTCAGTATACCGCGAGCAGTAGCTTGCGGTATACTGTGGCGTCTCAGTATACCGTGAGCTGTAGCTCGCGGTATACTGAGCTTAGGGTGACAGGAGGACGCTAGTTTGTGTCCTCCCGTTACCCTAAGGAGAACTATGGGGAAAAGCCCTAACCCCATAGTTCTCCTTTAAATGAAAAAGAAAGAAAAGGGTTCATTTATAGTGTATAACACAATAGTGATCACTAAACATACACCGCAAAAAGTGTGGACTATTTCTTACACAATTCCATGTGGCACATTTTGGATGGATTTAATGCTATATCTGCCACCTCAGTGTACAATGATTGCACTACTTGTGACTTAGGCCTCATTTACCCGAGGGGGTATGCTATGTTCTGGGAATCCTGCGGCAAGAACCTACAGCTTCCCACGGCAGGAATGCCAGGTGCCCCTGTTCAGATGCGGCCACTGTACCCATTGAAGTAAATGACAGTGACAACGGTCACATCTCTCAGCAGTAGTCCGCATGTAACTCTACAGGGTACTCTGGATAGGCAGAGCCAGCTGTCACTCACGCAGCTTGGCGGATCCAGACATAACTGTCGGGATCCGCTTCAGCGTCTCAGTATACCGCGAGCAGTAGCTTGCGGTATACTGTGGCGTCTCAGTATACCGTGAGCTGTAGCTCGCGGTATACTGAGCTTAGGGTGACAGGAGGACGCTAGTTTGTGTCCTCCCGTTACCCTAAGGAGAACTATGGGGAAAAGCCCTAACCCCATAGTTCTCCTTTAAATGAAAAAGAAAGAAAAGGGTTCATTTATAGTGTATAACACAATAGTGATCACTAAACATACACCGCAAAAAGTGTGGACTATTTCTTACACAATTCCATGTGGCACATTTTGGATGGATTTAATGCTATATCTGCCACCTCAGTGTACAATGATTGCACTACTTGTGACTTAGGCCTCATTTACCCGAGGGGGTATGCTATGTTCTGGGAATCCTGCGGCAAGAACCTACAGCTTCCCACGGCAGGAATGCCAGGTGCCCCTGTTCAGATGCGGCCACTGTACCCATTGAAGTAAATGACAGTGACAACGGTCACATCTCTCAGCAGTAGTCCGCATGTAACTCTACAGGGTACGATTTCCTGCGGTTTGGGATAGAGGATTGTTGCTGGACGTAGGATAAATGCATTCAGTGTCAGTGATCTATTGCAAACCGCATGTATTCATATCATATACAATTATATGCGGACTGACAGATGGGGCCGCTGTCACCCTGACATTAATTTCAATAGGTACAGCGAGTGCATTTGAATGATCCATAATAGAAGTCACCAGAACTCGGTGTGTGCAAGAAGTAAAGCACTTTTTATTAAATCGTCACGTGCGTCATACAGCCAATGTTTCGGGCCACGCAGGCTCCCTGCTTCTGGGCGACAGTGATGGTCGCGTCTATTATGGACTGTATCTGACACGGCGCCATGCGTGTTGTCACTTCAAGCACCAAGCTGTCATCCAAGCTCTGTACGCTGTATGGAGTGCAGGCGATTTCATATTATCGATTGCATTTGAATGATAACTTGTGCAGGAAGCTGTATGTTCTTGTTGCAGGAATCCCAGAACACAGCATAGCTCCCTGTGTGAATGAGGCCTAACACTCTTCTGTGAAGCCTGAGGTGCAGCAAGGATGTGCGATCACTATTGTTTTATATAAATTGACACATCTTCATTTCCACTTAGGTTCGAGCATATGATAAAGTCATCTATGTTTTCATTTTAGTCATGCACTTTATATGAGATAATAAACAGTATCATACCATGCTTATCATGAGTATACTGTAAACGCTTCAGGCAGTGCTAACAGTGCAGTAAACACTCAAGATATTGACAACAAGAACAAGATTTATCATACATGAGAAAACTGAGCATGTTGCATCCCACATGCATGAAGACCACACATTAAAGTGACACTAAACTCGGAAGTCAAATCTTAAAAATACATTCAAGTACCTTAACTATTAACAAAGATGCATTTTATTTCTGTATCACTCAGTTGTAGATCCTCAAATCATCTCTGAATTGGTACTGACACTGTTCTTCCTTCTGGAGCGGTGACAACTTGTGTTCCTCATAGTCCCTGTGTGTGTTGTAAAGTAGCCACCACTCCAAGCTCGCTCCTGTGATGGATTACAATCTAAATGCAAATTAGAGAACTGAATGTGAGATTGTAGCCTATCACAGGGGTGAGCTTGTTTACATTATATACACATGTACACGTGTTCACAACTCATACTTAGATGAATGGATGTGTCTGCTGAGATAGTACACAAAGTCAGCATGGCATAAGATCTAGGGGCCCTGGAAATGTGATAGCAATGCGAGGTAAATACTCAGTTGTATGGCAATGCTTAGACCTTGGTGAGAGGAGGCCATAATCCTACCATCTCCCATTCTCTGTTATGCTGCACCCACACAGGCAGCAGCCTGCCAGCACAACAGATGCTACTGGATGAGCCAGGCATACACCAGCATTCATTATTAAGCACCGCAAGGAGTAAGCCTTCAGGCAGAGCAACCCCAACTCTACACATGTACCAATACACACACACACACACACACACACACGGATTGGAGTCTGTGCACTCGAACACTGAGAAGTTGGGGTGTATGCATGCATACATGGAAGGACTGGGATCCGTACACACACACACACACATGGAAGGACTGGGATCCGTACACACACACACACACACACAGATGGACTGAGATCCGTACACACACACTGATGGACTAAGAGCCGTACACACACACACACACAAACTGATGGACTAAGATCCGTACACACACACACACACTGATGGACTAAGATCCGTACACACACACACACACACGCACACTGATGGACTAAGATCCGTACACACACACACACACACTGATGGACTAAGATCCGTACACACACACACACACTGATGGACTAAGATCCGTACACACACACACACACACGCTATTGGGCTGGGATCCGTACACGCATACAATGATGGGCTGGGATCTGTACACAAATGCACTGTTGGGATTTGTACACACATACACTGTTGGGCTGGGATCCGTACACACACACATTGTTGAGCTGGGATTTGTACACACACACACACACTAAAGGACCGGAATCTGCACACACATACAGCGATGGGATTTGTACACACATACAGTGATGGGCTGGGCTCTGTACACACATACACTGTTGAGCTGGGATTTGTACACACATAGTGATGGGATTTGTGCACGCATACAGTGATGGGCTGGGATTTGTACACACACACACACACTAAAAGACTGGGATCTGTACACACATACAGTGAGGGGATCCATACAGGCATACAATTATGGGCTGGGATCTGTACACACATACACTGGTGGGCTGGGATCTGTACACACATACAATGATGGGCTGGGATCTGTACACACATACAATGATGGGCTGGGATCTGTACACACATACAATGATGGGCTGGGATCTGTACACACACACACTGTTGGGCTGGGATTTGTACACACACACTGTTGGGCTGGGATTTGTACACACACACACTGTTGGGCTGGGATTTGTACACACACACACACACTGTTGGGCTGGGATTTGTACACACACAGGACTGGGATCTGTACACACATACACTGTTAGGCTGGGATTGGTACACATACAATGATGGGCTGGGATCCACACACACACACACACACACTGATGGGCTTGGATCTGCACACCCATACACTGATGTGCTTGGATCTGCACACACATACACTGATGGGCTTGGATCTGCACACCCATACACTGATGGGCTTGGATCTGCACACACATACACTGATGGGCTTGGATCTGCACACACATACACTGATGGGCTTGGATCTGCACACACATACACTGATGGGCTTAGATCTGCACACACATACACCATTGGTTGGGATCTGCACACACATATACCGTTGGTTGGGATCTGCACATACATATACCCTTGGTTGGGATCTGCATATACCCTTGGTTGGGATCTGCACACACATATACCGTTGGTTGGGATCTGCACACACATATATCGTTGGTTGGGATCTGCACACACATATACCCTTGGTTGGGATCTGCACATACATATACCCTTGGTTGGGATCTGCACACACATATGCCGTTGGTTGGGATCTGCACACACATATACCCTCGGTTGGGATCTGCACACACATATACCCTCGGTTGGGATCTGCACACACATATACCCTCGGTTGGGATCTGCACACACATATACCCTCGGTTGGGATCTGCACACACATATACCCTCGGTTGGGATCTGCACACACATATACCCTTGGTTGGGATCTGCACACACACATACACTGATGGTCTGGGATCTACACACACACACACATATACACTGATGGGCTGGGATCTGCACACACATACACTGATGGTCTGGGATACACACACATATATACACTGATGGGCTGGGATCTGCACACACATACACTGATGGGCTGGGATCTGTACACACATATACCCTTGTCTGGGATCTCCCCTTGCCTGTCCATGTCTATGGCAATGCTAATGATCCAGACATAAAATGGTGCCTCTCCCCAGCACAGCCCATACTGCCAATACCTCATATAGCACATCCTAGGCTAGCCTGCATTGTACTGCGCACCTGTTCCTGGTGTCATCACAAGGCTGTTGGTCAGCGGCGGCTCTCCCCGGTATAGGGATGCGATCACCTGTGACAGCTGGCTCCTGATAGCAGCCTTTCCCGGTGGAGAGGAGGGCGGGGCCGTGGTCACAGATCCTGGAACCTTAAAGTGACAGCTAGTTCACACAATGACGTGGCTCTACACTTAACTCTTTCCATGCCTGCAATGTTCGACGCTTTCTCTTCAAGTGTGCAATATCACATTGTTTTTTCAGCCTGTGCTTACATTTCTTCTCAGCATTTCAGGGGCTCTACTGTACATGTTACACACAAACATATAAATATACATACTATATACTAGCATACAACCAGAACTCTCATCTAACCAGAACAAAAAATCCCCTGTGTACTCATTGTTCTGCTGCCAGATGCCAGATAACGGGGAGTTTACTGTGTATATATAACTGTAAAGTAAGAATTCTTTCAGAAATAAAAATGTCAATAGTTTATTTTTATCAATTAAAATGGAAAGTAAAGGAACAGAAGAGAAATCAATATTTGGTGTGACCACTCTTTGCCGTCAAAACAGCATCAATTCTTCTAGGTACACTTGCACATAGTTTTTGAAGGACCTCGGCAGGTAGGTTGTTCCAAACATCTTGGAGAACTAACCACACATGTTCTGTGGATGTTGGCTGCCACAAATCCTTCTATCTCTTCATGTAATCCCAGACGGACTCCATGACGTTGAGATCAAGGCTCTGTGGGGGCCAAACCATCATTCCCAGGACCCCTTGTTCTTCTTTATGGTGAAGATAGTTCTTCATGACATTGGCTGCATGTTTGGGGTTGTTGTCCTGCTGCAGAATACATTTGGGGCCAATCACACTCCTCCCTGATGGCATGGCATGATGGCTGGTACCAGCCAACCTTCTCCCACCCAATGTCTGCTCATTAGGGAAGAAGGTTGGCCGTTGCTCATCAGCCAGAGAGGATTTTGAAGTGGCCATCCCTACCCTGCCTAGCCCCTCTAAACTTAAACCTGTGTCTGATGAGCACCTGCCAACAACCTTCCAGACCTGATGAACACTCATGACTTCCCCTTGAAGACGAATGAGCAAACATCACATCCTGCCTACTACCTCCAAACGATGAGTACCTGTGACCCTGAACTCCTCTGTAATGTGCCCCAGTCAGTACCCCTGGGTTTGTGCAGGGATCTCAAGTCTCCCTGATGTTAGATGGCGGCTCCCTGATCTGCGAGCAGGGCCGGCCTTAGGGGTGTGCGAGCAGTGCGGCCGCACAGGGCGCCATGGCAACAAGGGCGCTGTGCGGCCGACACAGCTCGTCCTGGGGGCGGCTTCTCTCCCCCTCACCGCTCCGCCATC